GACAGAAAATAAAGAACATATCATCTCAGATATAAAAAACATTTTCTTTTTCTTTGCCAAAGAAGAATTTGATTCTTAAAATATAAAAATAGTAAATATTTAGATATTTCTCCCAGTTACGTGTTTAATTTCTAATACAGATTCTGGGAATATTCCATTTTGAAACCATAATGTTAACCTCTCTTTTCATAAAAATCTAAGACTCTGTGAAGAAACAGCTCCAAATCAGATCTTATTTGGGCCCCCAAATTCTTTAAATTCTCCTAATGAAGAGCTGAGAAAAGTGCTAAAACATTAGTATTGGAGTGAGAAGAGGAACGTTTATGAATCATATTTCTCCGGGATTTCTTGTGCTATCTATCTAAACTTAATGATTATATAAGCATGATTTCTTTGGTATCTACCTTACCCAGATGCTTCCTCAGAAGCATCATTATCTGCTTAATAAATCTTTGAAGGAAATACCCAATTCTTACAAAATCTGTCAGTTGCCTTATTTATTTAATCCTTGAGGTCCTTATGTTTGAGTTCGTATGGCAGGGATTCTGTATATATTATACTATCACAGACTCCAGGCCTCTGTAATTAGATGTGAATAAATAGTATTTTGATTTATTTGTGTACAACTCAGAAAAAGGGTGTTGAAGGGAGAGATAGAAATCTTTAATAAATAAAACTATATTTGGTATAGTCATTAAAGGCACAAGGGGCACTAGACACAGAGAACCTTGAATTCTAGTCCTTCTTTAAGGATAGAAACAAGTTAGGTCAGTCATTTTCTCTCAGCCGCTAGAATAGGACATCAAAAAACACCTCAGAATATGGTACTATAGAAAAAAACACTAGAAAACAACTTCTGAAAATTTGCCAAGAAAACTGCATGAATCTGTCCATACAGGCACCCAAGAATCAAGATGGATTCAAAGGATCATAACAATAATGTTCCATAAAGCTTGGATAATTTTGCTTTAATCCTCAAATGGAATATCAATCAATCAATTAATTAATCAAATTAGAATAGAGCTGGAAGGGATCTTGAAGGTCTTCTAAGCAGGAAACCCTGTTTCATTTCAGACAAGTGACTGTCCAGTCACTTCTTAAAAACCTCCAATGATGGAGCACCCACAACCTCTGATGGCAAGTTGTTCCACTGATTAATTGTCCATTAAAAATAAATGAAGATGGATTCTGTGCCATTAACTGAACATTTCTGCTATAGAAACTGGATCTATGTATGGTAAGAAAAATACTGACATATTTGAGAATGATTTGATTCCCACTTTTTAATGGTTTTGTGAAGAAGTTAATCACTCCTTAACTTGGGGAGGGATTGATTTGATGGCGTTGATTCTAAGTAACAATTAGATGGCTTTTGAAAGTTCTTGGCGCAAGAGTTTTTAGTTACATGGGATCTGGAAAAACTCTGCCTCACTGAGGTATTTTATATCTTTACTCCTTTATTCCTTTCTTTTACTTTTTTTTCAAGATTGACTGATGTGTCAGAAAAAGGACCAGTTCTTTTCATAGATACTGAGCTACTTCCCACTGCCCCCCCCCCATTGGGATTCAGAATGAGAAGACAGATAATCAGGTCAAAGAAATCAACAATTCTGACATCTCTGTACTTGGATTGCAATCAGCCTCAAAAGCTGCATTCCACCACATTCACAGAACAAGCCAAAGTCAACTGGTTGTCTTTGAATAGTCATTCTTTCAGCCCTAGGAAGAATACAATGGCAAATCATTCCAAAAATATTACCATGAAAATTCCTTGTCAGGAGTCAAGACTGATTAAAAAATATGCTTGATCCAAAGAAGATGGCAAAACATAGTACCCTGCCACCAGATTTTTTAAAACGGATTTTAAACTCAAGACTGAATTGGCTGCTAACTACCTCCATCTACTGTTTAGGACAGCTTTCCCAGCAATGCATCCACAGGGTGGGGAGGGAGTAAGAATCTCAAAATGGCAACTGTGATTAAAGCCCCACCTTCTTTTAATATGACACATGCATTGCACATACTTGAATGCAATCATGCTTGGGTCATTTGGTGGCACCTATCATTTTCACCCCACTCCTTGGATGCCCCTGCTTCCAAGTTCTCAACTCTCCATCACCCTGAGCTAAAAAGCCAAATTGAAAACAAATCATTGTCAAGAAAAATCTATCCAGGTGGTTGCTAAAACTTGATATCAATGTGATAGCACTTACTCAACTAGCTTCTGCCTATTAGCTATGCAGGCTGAAATTCTGGAGTTTGTAATCACCACAAAGGTAGTAAGTTGAAAAAGGCTGACTTTTGCTGTAAAGGACAAGCTATGCGAATCTGCAGAAAATAGCAACAGTCTTGGGGCAGTCTTCTGGGACATTCTTGACTTTCATAGCCTTAAAGGCTAACAAATCTGTTACCACATATGTGTTTTTAGTTTATGCAGATATATCAAAATAATTATACAATAGGTGACATCATGTGGTCCCCAAAATTAAATAAATAAATGTCATGAAATAGTATACCTTTCTCATATGAAAACTCCATTCACATTCACATTCACACCTTAAAAGATCTAATAGTTCTGCAAGATTTGGGCCACTTTTAATTAAATAACAAATTACATTTATTAATTGATTCCGTTTTGGAGATCAGTGGCACCCTCTTGTGGTGTTCCTGGTGTCTGGGATTCCTGGATCACATGATAATAAATTAATCTTTATTAGTGCTGCAAAATGGTTTTTGATGACTGAAGATTAATATGGGCAGAGATGGGGAGTTTAATGTACATCTTGATCTTTTGCTTAAAAATGTTAGGTATCCATGTTTTCTCTGCTTCTTCATTCTCCTGGTGTTTCAGCTCATCACCTCTAAATCTTTGCCTGGTCTTGTCCAGTTGTCCTTAGCTACCTAGTCCATTACTATCAAATCTTTGCAGGATTAATTCTAAATGAAACCACCTGCAACAGCTCCCTTTCATCCTTCTTCTAGCTCCTCTCCTCCCCCCAATCCTTCCTGCTCCTTAGTTTCTATGGAAACCGTATCTTGGCAGTGTTACTTCCTGGACTAGCTTGTTCTGGGAAGTGAGCTGGGCAAGGACTAGACAGGCAGATTTCTGAAGCAATTTTACAAAATTTTAGAAGCAGATGCTCTAAGACCATTATTAATAACAGTAATCATGCAGTAGTGAGGATAAGAGGAAGGAAACTATGGCAAAACGTAAACAGTTTTAAAACTTGAGGCAAAATAACATACTGTAATCATGATATATGTTCCAGCAGCTTGATGTTAACAGAACATCCATACAAAAGTATAAGTCACAGAGCTATATTGGGTGGTCTGGCTTTTTTAATCTTGACTTTTCCATTTGTAAAATGGAATAAAATTGACTGGAATGTCATGGAAAATAAGTACCATCACAGCTACACTATAAAATATTTGCTATGGCAGGCATGGTAATTACAATGATTACCCCATTGTAATCCCAAACTCATCACTTTTTAGTTGCAGCTTGTTTGCTCTCCCTTAGAAATCCTGTCATAGTTGATTCCACTTTTACAGATGTATAAAGCAGGTTTGATGATTTATTCAAGAACATTTACTGAGTATATGAAAGGACTGAAATTCCTGCAGACTGATGGATTGACAAAAGATTAAATAAATATGCACAGGTTCTTTTTAAACCACCATTAGACCATGTATTATATACCTCTGCTATCAGAGGTATATTTTTAACTTAAAACATTGCTATAATGTTGTTATTTATTTATGTAAAGTATTTGCTTGGTTACCCATCAAAAACACTATTCTGGATGGCTCACAACAATAACAAAATCTAGAACTATAAAAACTACAAACATCAAATCATAAAACTAAAACAAAACCAGAATCTCTGTCATCCCTTTGGGATGCCCCAGAACCAACTTCAGACATTCTCACTTTATCCAGCACCTGGGTGAGGATGGTCTTCCAAAGGGCTAAAGGGATGGGGACCTGCCAAATAACTGAGGAGAGGGTGTCCCATACAATAGGGAAAGACACACTTTTCTTTGTCCCATTTTATAAGACCATTTAGTAGTTTATGTAATTCTTACTCATTCTTCTGCTTTTTAAATATTCAGAGAATTTTAAACTGCATTTATCATTGGAAGAAATAATTAAATTTTTTTGCAACAGAGTAATTACTGAAGGCAGTTATCGTTAAAAAGGAGAAGCAGAAATAAATATTGAGTCTGTTAAAATACACACTGCTTCAAAATTTGCCTAAAAGTAATAAAATTGGAAATCAGATGAAGATATGGAAAAGGTTAATCGCTTATTCATCTTGTAATCCATTACCATGACATGGATAGCAAGACACCCTGGATATGTGACATTGGAAATGCAAACTATACAACTAACACACATGTTCTTGTCAAATCATAAGAGTTGCTATAAGAGAACATATATGACCTGAAGTGTGATACACAAGCCAAACAGTGACATATGTGTGGCCATAACACAACGTGATTGGGCAAAGTTGAGAAGTTGAGAGGAGGCAAAAGTAACCAGGCTTTCTTTTAATTTTGGCTAGAATGTCTCTAATTTGGTGAGAACCTAAAGAATTCTAGAACAAAAAAAGATAATATTTACAAAGGACATACTGCTTAGAACTAGGGACCCCAAATCTACTTCAAAATAATGCCCAGAATTCCAGCATAAGGAATAAGTGACACAACGAAGAGAAAGAAACTTAGTGCCTCACTTGGCAGTCAGCCTTACCTCAAGCAGGCATGACATTTCAGCAGATAAATTTTGATACCTCTTTCATAGATTTGGAGGAACTATTGCCTTATTACTGTAATGTCATCAAAATATCCCCAATTCCAATCACCTAGCCAACAAATAGAAATTCTGGGAATTGTCGTCACAAAATGGAATAGACATATTTGGAGGAGACTGCCCTCTAAGAAGCAAAACCCTCTGTCATGCAACAATAAAGAAAGCACAAACACAATAAGTCACATTACCTTGATGAGTTTGAAGAAGGTTTCCAGGATGAAGATGAGGGAGATGAGAATTGAGAAGATCTCCTGAGTATAGCGAGAGATGTAACGCACCAGGAAGCTGCCCTCAAAAGCCACTACCACTATCACTATCAGTATCAGCCAAAAGCCAATCCAGACTCTCCCCACAATGTATTCAAAGTCATTTTTCGTACAAAACTATATGGATAGAAAAGAGGATGGGGGTGAGGAAGGTAAAGAAGAATTCATAGATAATATAACTGAAATGCTATTTTCCCCTCCTTCATTTGCACTTTCACTTTAATAAAACAGATATCTGAACCCTATTAGCCTTTCCACATCAACATCTTATGAAACTTCTGTCTTGGCTAGTTGGGAATTGGGGATTTGGTTTTGAACACTTATATAATGATATGGGAGATACCTGAAAACTAAATTTGTCTTCATATTTGTTTTATTGTTATACATTTCATAATGCTTTCCTATAAATGTACAGTACTTCAATTCCACAGTCTTTGTTACAGTAGTTCAGGGGTTCCCAAACAGGGGTGCTTGCACCCCCTGAGATGCGAGATGATATTCCAACGGGTGCGAAAACTTGGGCTTTCAAAATTATAGTGTATATGCATAATTCATTGCTGTTATTTTGAACTTTTGTAAGGGGTGCGAGACTATACCAGAAGCGTTCTAGGGGTGCAGGGTATAGAAAAGGTTGGGAACCACTGCATTAGTTGATTATTCTGGGAGTTTAACCTTAATATGTTGAGTTATCAGATTGGAAAAGGCACAATATTCTATTGCTACGGAAATAAGACTGAGCAAGCATTATCTGGAATATTCCTAATAACATAGGAATAATTTTATTAAATGAAACATTGCCTGATTAGAAGTCAGCTAAAAAACTTCTTTATTACTCTCTCCAACACTTAGAAATGGAAAATTTATTACCTGTACAAATGGACATTGTGTCATCTCATAACTTATAGCCATAAACTGCCTATTAATTTCCAAAATTGTCTATTGCTTTAAAATAATTTAAGCAAATGACCATCACTATGGATTGCTTAGCCATAGTTGCTTAAGCCATTATTTGCTGAGCACTCAGAGCACACTAAACTATTATTTGCAAAGCGACAATTGATGGACTCATACAAACTATGTTCAGATAAACTACATTATGGTTTAAGGCAATCAAATCCATTTGCTCCCTTGTGTAACTTTCCTTTCAATAAGTCATAGTGATTTCTAGCAGGACACTTACTGTATAAAAAGCTTCTTCAAAGACCAAAAGGGGGCCAGAGAATCCCACAACAAGCAGAGGCTGAGCTCCCAGCAAGCAAAAGAGTCCACTCTGAACTGCGGTAGAGAGTAGAAGCTCAGAGACTCCTATCAGGCGCTCTGTCTTTTCAGCTGAAAAGAACAGGAAACAATTAGCAAAAATAGGACCAGCCCAAGGTCTTCTTTTGTCCCTCTTCTCCATTGTCCAGGAATCAGAGATCCATATGTCTTAGGATTTGTGACTATCTTTTTCATAGCTGAATGCATATTTCTCACAACTGAAGTATGTTTTTCAATACAAAAATTTCCTAGTAAGACATGGAATCACATTGAACAAATACCTCATAAAAAACTTTTCAAGCTACTTTCCACTCTCATTGGAGAAATAAACCTCTCTTCCTAACTTTAGCCACTGTTTCTTAGCCTTTGCAATTTTAAGGTAGGTAAGACTTCAATTTCCAGAATTCTCTAGCCAGCTGTCCTGGTTGGGGAATTCTGGAAGTTGAAATTCACAAATCTTAAAGTTACCATGAGTGAGAAACACTGGGCTAGCCTATACAGATCATTCACATTTATTTATTTTTCAGGTTATACACTTTAGGAAGCAGCTGTAAAGGATAGGAAAGGAAGAGTAGTCTGAGCTGGCAGTCATTTTTAGTATGGGAGAGAGCAAAGCTTGATTCAATTGTCGTTCCTGCAATGGCTGCATGGGGATGTTCACAGGCTTTTCTGAAACTGCCAAGAGTGTTTGATTGTTAGAAATAAAGGGGTGTGTAGAAGTGCCCAGTGATGTGGTTGAGATCTCTAGATTTATCAAGGACTGGTTATGGTATGACCAGTGATCAAAACTATAATGGTATGTGGGTGATGACCTTGAGGATAAAGGGAAAGAGATGCTGCTTAGGAAATGATCAGACAAGATCATTTACGGTTTAATAGACAGAGAAAAAAACTTAGGAAGGACCTACCTTGATCACGCTGTGAAAAGAGAAAATAAGAGATCTGTACTTTCAGTCTTTCAAGATTCTGTTAATGCAGCCTTACAATAAAGTAGTATTAGCTCATCTGGTCATGTTTCCTGTCTGGTTTGCCTGGGAGAGCTGTCAAACCCTTAACCCTTTTTAACATGCAATGCACACATTATATATGTGTCCTAGAGGGCTTGATACTTTCTCCACTTCTATTTAACATCTACAAGAAGCTGCTGGGTAAGATCATCCACCACCATGGGCTGAGATATCATCAGTATGCTGATGACAGCCAGCTATATATCTTGGCCCATGGTGAGTTAAGCAATACCATTACCTTTCTCTTGCAGTACTTATAGGCTGTTAAGGCCTGGATGGGGAGCAATAGGCTGAAAGTGAACCCTTATAATATGGAATGGCTTTGGGTTTGGGGTTCTTTGATCCATGGATCATTTCCATTTCTAGTCTTGAATGGGGTGGCACTGCCCCAGACATACCCAACGCATAATCTGAGGGTTTTTCTGGATTCTAGGGTCCTCCTTGAGAAGCAGGTCATAGTTGTGACCAGAAGGACTTTTGTATACCAATTGCACTCCTTCCTTGACCAATAATTCCTGTTCACAGTCATTCATACCTTAGTCTTGACTCACCTCCCATCTTGACTATTGCAATGTACTCTACATGGGACTGCCCCTGAAAAGCATATGGACAGGCCTAAATGCGCACATTTATCATCTGTCCTATGGGAGCTGCGCTGGCTGCCAATTTGTCTCCCTGATCCAGTTTAAATTACTAGTTGTCACCTTCAAAGCCCTACATAGCCAGATTATTAGAAGGACTGTTTTTTCCTGGTTACATCTACCCAACTCACTAGAGTGGGAAGGCAGAGAACATCTCCTAAAGAACTCCATCTAGTGGGACCAAGAAGGGACTTCTCTGTGATGGCTCCCTCCCTATGAAGTTAAGATTGGCACCCACTGTGACACTCTTTCACAAGGCCCCAAAGAGCTGATTTTGCCAACAGACTGGGGAACCTCAGAGAGGGATGGATCCCATCAAGTAGCTTGTTTGATTGTTGCCACCAGGAATGTGGGAGGTTATTGGTTTTTTATTGTTTTTGATGTTAGATTATAATTTGTGTAAACTGCCCAGAGTGACTGAGGGTGAATTGGTTATAAATGAATAAATTCAAAAACTTACTTGTGGCTTTTATGTATTTGGGGCAATACATAAATTCCCTCTGACCCTCTCCAAAAATAATTAAATAAAAGTTACATGGTTGAAAACTACAATATTATACCACTATAGCATTGCATAAGTTTTGGTAGTACTGAATACATATTTCCATTCTCCACACTATTTGCTTTTTTGTGTAAGCATTTTAGGCATAATTGTATTTTAGCATGTATGTATTTTAGCATGAATGAATGAATTGGCTTTTAACAAGACTTCCTTAGGGCTTCCAAGTGTCACATAAAAGGACATGTCTTCTGTCTGATAAGTATATCATTAAATATCGTCTGGCTTTTGAGTATCTTGGTTTTTTTTTTAAAAATAATAATTTTGGACTGTTTTCACAATAGTCATCATTACAACTTTTATGTATTGAGATCTTGTAAACTGTCTGCTCATTTCATCCCTTGCCCTTTGATAGATTCAATAACCTAGCTCTATGTTCTTAAATTTTGCAATTCCAGCAATCATCTTCAATTCAACCCCTTCAAATCTCTGATCACTGTATAACACGACTCATCATATATTTCTATGGTGGACTATATCATTGTATCACTGATTCTATAGCATAAGTTCCTAAAAATAAAGATTTTTGGAAAATATTGTGACTGAAAAACTTCTGAAGCTAGTTTTTCTGAAACTGAAGGGAAAAATAATTTCATATAATATAAGCTTAAATACATTTTTGCTGGACGTTTTGTTGCAGACACCATGAAGTTTCAATAGTTAGTGTATTTCTTCCCCCTTCCATATCTCCTCTTTTCCAAATGTCTCTACCCTTCTTTGCCTCTTCAGAAATCTAATAACTCTATTCTTATTGTTTTTAATTTTTATTTTTATCACCAGACTTGGAAAAAATAAATGAATAAGTACATAGTATTTTATTAGAAAATTTGTGCTAGCAATACTGGTGAGAAATTATAGTCCTAAGCCATCTGAAGCACTCCGGTTTGAAAACATACCACTTCTTATTGGTTGTCTGTCTGGCCCAGCAGAAAATCAATTCCAGAGCATTTTTTTTAAAAGTACCATCCTCCCGATCTTTATTATGTGATCATGTATCAATGTGCTGCTAATTTCTCTTACCAAGCAGGCCTCCGAAAGTAATGGCAGGAGAAAGGGCAGCAAAATAGATGAAGATGACTGCAGCCAGGCATTGTGGGTTCAGAGCATCCTTGATGTCACTGAGATACTTGGGGTACCGACGTTTTATGTCTTTCACTAACCCTCCAAAAATCCTTCCAGTTCGGCGCAAGGAATCATCAGAATCTTTTGCTTTGACATCGTGGTCTTTCAATTTGTGCCCTGAATGAGAAGGAAAGGGGAGGTTTTCAGAGGGAGTGCCCTCTTTGAATGTGAATGTCCACTTTTTATGGATATTTGGTGATCTCTGGAGTTATTTCATTCATAATCATGAAGGATGCCCTGTATAATATGAAACTTTAACAGCAGAGGAGCTCCTGGCTGAATTATCTGGATAGATTATGAGATAATGGTGTCTAATGAAGGGGAGGGAGAGTTTTGAGGTTGTCAATATGAGGCACGGTCAGGTGATTGAAGCCCCATTGCTTTTTAATGTGCATTATACACATTATAGTACATACATATAAAAAGAGGCAAAGCTGCAGTCATCCAGTTGTGGCCACACCATTTTAATGTAACTAAATTTTCCTCAACCTGATAGCTGACTCTGTTTTGGGAGAGAATTGGCTGGCTAAGCAGGACAAATATGATAGTGAAGCTGGCCTGCATTTTGAAGCAATAATCATTGCCATTTAAAAGTCACCCCTCCTCCATCCCACATCATTAAGTCAAAAAAGCATTTTACCAAAAGCGCTGCTAAGATTAAACAAGCCTATGAACACTCCAAATTTTAATGTATGTCTCTTTCTCTGGTTTGCATAATTATTTTCTGCAGAGTTATTTACAAGAAGAAAAAATCCCCATTTTTCTGAATATTGGCAATGCAGTCTTTCTCTCTGTCCCATTTTATGTGTAAATTTTCTTGTTGCATTCCACACACAGGATTGAACCTGTGGCTGAGGTTTGGAGGCATTGCTTTTGTGTAGCAAGGCCTCTGAAATTACCTCCAACTAGAATTTAGGTTCATACTGACTATAACTGCCTGCTTGAAGCAACTGAAACTGGAGCTCCTCTGGAGAGTGTTTGGGATGTATTTTTTGTGTGTGTGTTTTTAAGACGCTGTTCTTGTTCTAAAACTAACTACAAATGTTTTAGTGGTTGTTTACTCAAATAAAGAGAGTTGGTTTGGACCAGACTTAGAAACCTGGAGACTGTGAATTCTAGTCCTGTCTTAGGCACAAAGCCAGTTGGACTACCACCTCTGAAAAATGTTGGCAAGAAAACTGCATGAACTTGTCCAAGCAGTTTTCAGAAGCCAAGACTCATTTAATGGCACAAAAAAGAAAGAGGAAAAAAAACTTGCAAAACTGCCAAGAGCTCTTTGGGATTGTGGTAGAACATAAATTAAATAAATAAATACATTTTTAAAAAGGCAGAATATTTTTGGAAAGTTTGTTACGGGGGGGGGGGGCTGGCCTGAATCAGGAGGCTGAATTCAATATTCAGTGCCAAAGTCTGTGGTTTTGTGATACAATTATACACATTCCTTATTTTACTAGGTAAAATCAAGCTATCGCCTCACATCCGTCATAAATGTGAGACAGGACATCTTCCAGACTAGTTTCTGAGCATCTTAGAAACAAACTAAAATAAGGACCCCTTTAGTCCTTCTTGCATAAGCTAATAGAATAAGCTTACTCCTGTCTCCTTAGAAGAAATCATACTGAGTTCTCTATGCCTGACTCAAGCACAGAACTGCAGGATAAATCAGTGTTTCTCAACCTCAGCAATTCTAAGATGTCTGGACCCTATGAACAGGCTAGAGCAGTGGTTCTCAACCTGTGGGTCGGGACCCCATTTGGGGTCGAACGACCATTTCATGGGGGTCGCCAAACAACGCGGTCCGCCATTTTTTCCCCCTTTTTCCTTAGCTGTGCTACTCCCTTTTATTCTATTGGCTTTTGAAAGCCAATAGAATAGACTCTCTTAAATAGAGTCTAATTCTATTGGCTTTCAAATGCCAATAGGAATTGTCCAGGCTGTCTCTGCCCTGCTGAGCCCGCCAAAAGCCCCATTCTGCAAACGGTGCTGCACCAGTTGAGTAGTCCTTGACTTACGACCGGTTGAGTAGTCCTCGACTTACGACCGGTTGGGGGTCGCGGCATTAAAAAGGTTGAGAACCACTGGGCTAGAGAATCCTGTGAATTGAAAAATCACAGGTCTTAGAGTTGCTGAGATTGAGAAACACTAGGCTAAATTATCCTCCTACACTGAACCATAGCCATGTCTAACCATACCTAGGTCTTTTAGTGACTCTTCCAGTTTCTTCTCCACTGGGAGGTACCTCTTCCTTAGGAAATCCTTCTGCACTGGCAGCAACATTTTGAGAAGTCTTTCATTTTGGATCTCAGAGGGTGGGAGGACAATGCAACAATCTAGGAACTCATCCAGACTCTTTATCAAGTCCTGTCTTCCTTCTGCCAAATAGGAGTCATTGCGAAATACCTACTCCGAAAAAGAAAATAAGACAGTGCTCAGGGAGGCACTGGGCAGGAATGGGGTGGGCTCATTTTCACAGCCGGTTTCTCCACTCTTTGTGAAGCAGTGCTCTCTACTGGGGATTTAGATAAGGGGGACAGGTCCAACTTCCCATAAACAATTAATTTTAAGTTACTTATTAACTCTATATATTTCAGTGAAGAGTTGAATTAAATTTACCTGAAATATGCCTCTCTAGCAGATTAAAATGAATCAGTGAATGTAGGCAATTCTAGATGTTAAAACCAATGAAACTGAAAAATAAATGTCCACAACTTCAAAAATAAAATGATTTTGCTATTAAAACTACATGCCCTGAAATGTCTTTGTTGAAAGCTGCCCATTTTTTGCCTATATCGTCAAATATTTGGAAATGCTTTGCCAAGAGTTTTCAGTGATAGGGAACTTCTGTCGGCCTAATGGCTTCAGTACCCTCTAGAATAGATCTTGCATGGCACGGAAGAGAAAGTGAGAACCATGAGGCCAAGGCCAAAGACACACTTCCCAGATACTTTTATCCATGGAAGTTGCCACCTCAGGAAACAATTAGCCACTTAAAAGGCCAAGGTATTTCTTTTCCAGGACCAGTAACTGGGTGGGGTTCTGACATTCTGAACAGACTGCAGAGAAAGAAGAATTAATCTTATCTATGCAATTAATGATGCCCCTATCTTTTAATAAGCCTTACTGCTCCACCTGCTGGTTGGAGAAACCTCGCCAGGCCTCTCATTTTCTATGCCTAATACCGTATAAAATTCTAGTCATTATAATGATCCCTCAAATAATTCAACCTCATTCTGGGCATTCAGGTTGATGGAACTGTAGGGAGGTCGTTTGGGTCTTTATTGCCATAACAGTTTTTATAACTTTGATTCTGGTGCCACTTGATTTCTTTTTTCTCTTGTCAGGAAGCCATTTCCTCAACATCAGAATTACAGTGGGCATGTACTAAAGTGCTCCATCTCAGAAACTGTCAGAGGAAACTTTCAGCCTAGCCCTCAGCTTATTCACATGGGGTTTTTACTGTTGAATACTCACCTAGTAATATTTTCTGAAAGCAGGATATACCATTATTTCCTCAGGCCCCTTGAATGAATAAAGGCAAACCAACTTACCCTCTCAGACATCATAGTTGAGATGGCTCTCCCGATTTCGTGGTAGCTAATGTGGGGGGAATCAGGGCCCAGAACCACAAAAAGGAACCTGACAGGGACAGGAACCTCCAGGACAGAGTCCAACTCCACCGCCTCCTTCAAGCGTACAAAGGCCAGAGTAGGTCGGTCCAGGAAGGTGGCACAGCCTAAAGGGAGGATGGATGGGCATGGGACATAGTTTAGGGGCTTTGGCACAAAGAGAAACGGCAAGAGAGAAAATGTGGGCAAAAATGAAAAGAATCCAAGCAGAGGCAAAAGGGTGGAAGAGACGGGAACAAGGGGAGAGAAGGGGAGACAGCAAAGTGAGCAAAGTTTGCAATCAGGGTTTGATAAGCTGGATAGAGAAGCAAAGCATAGTTCCTGCCAAAGACAAATATGCTTCTTCCTGACCCGAATGCACAAGAAAGCAAGAATCAGAAAGTAGATTCCCATTCCCCATTTTTTTTTAAGATTAGCATACATTCATAGTACTGATTCTACAATTAGGTAGTGTGGAAGCAATGTTACACTATGGCAATTTAACAGTTTCAGAATTTCCCACTTATTAATACTTCAGTTATGTACATAATACATAAATCATTCTGCTTTAAAAGAGAAAAGAAAGGAAGTAAGAAGAAAAATGTATCTGGGAGGAGAGAAATTCTTTAAGAGTCATTGTGGTTGAAGAAACCAGTGTTTCTTAACCTTGGTAACATCAAGATGTATGGACTTCAATTCCTAGAATCCGCCATGCTGGCAAGAGACAAGTTAAGGTTGAAATATACTGATGTAAAGAACTAAGGGAATGTAGGTTCTGAAATCAAATATATTATTCCTTCTCTTTTTATTTAGAGACCTTGGAAGCAAGTCAGAGTACTTTTCATATTTGCCAAATTTTGTTAGACTCTTCCTTCCAAGGCAAAAACTTGGAATAAGGACAGCTTTGTCTTTCATTTCCCGATTAATTCTGTCTAGGTGAATTGATCCCTTCCTGTAGATTCTGGTTTCTATGTAAGGCTGAGTCAATTGCTTTGTTGTAGTGACCCATTCCTCATTATCTCCTGAGTTGTACATCTGCAGATTCATATAGATCTTTATATAAAGTAAACCTAGACTGTCTTGCCCTTAGATCTGCTTTCACAACTTGGTGAAAGCAGATCTTTTGTATTAGATTTCAATTTCTGATGAAAATGATGGGGGCTGATATAAAAAAAGAACTGTTTGGGGAAGGCTGATTTTGACTGTTTTTGAACAATGTAGATACAAGAAACTTATAGATTAGATACTGTAGTAGTGGTGATTGAATTGAATTACCCTATCTGGGATGTGGAAATCTAAATAAATGTTAGATGGCAGCAACAAGGTACAAAAAGCTCTCTCTTTCATCTCTAGATGGTTTTGTAGTCTAGATATGATAACTTTAGTAAGTTGAGAAGCCGTACGTTAAGAAGTTAAGGAATAAAACAGAATATATTCTAATATGTGCTCAATAAGGTGTTGAAAACTGGCCAGAAAAAGAAAGAGATATCTCTGTTTTGGAATTGCTTGAAATGTAGGAATCAATAGATCAAACTGAAAATTGCATCACAGCTAATGTCAACAGATAAAGCTGTGGTTCATGTTGCATTAAAATAATTAAAATAACATTAAGATTTAAAATTATTAAAATAAGCCTACTTCAATGGCTCTGTAAAGTATCATATATAGAATTATGAACAGACCAGCAAAATGGTGGACCTAAGCCCAGCATATCTTTTAAGTATATTTTAACACAAACAAAATAAAAATCATGACAAAAAATAATACCTTGTATCTATATATTTAGAAACATCCATACAGTACATGCATGCAATGGATTATAACACATAGATTTTTTAGGCCTATGCAAAGCACACCCAGTTTGGTTTCCCATTTTTTTCAATAACATTTTGGGTTAATAAATATTTCTTCAATGGAATTAACCTAGTCAAATTTATTAGAATGATCTTTGGGCAGGGAAAAAATCAAGGGTAAAGTTTAAAATTATGCAGGACTTCCGTGAGAGAGGTGGACTCAGGGTACTGAATTTGAAATTATATTATGACGCTGTGATCTTAACATTAATTAGTGATTGGGTAAATTTAACAAATTCAGAGATACTCTACTTGGAGGGATGAGATTTATTTTTTGGGTGGCATGCCTATTTAATATTTAATAAAAAAGTGGATTGGGCCTTTAAATCTCATATTATAAGGATCTCTTTACTTAGGGTTTGGAGGAAATATTATAAAAGTGATTTTAAAATACCATTATGGGCTATACCTTGGCATTCGATAGAGGGGATAAAGAGAGGTGTTAAAATGGATACGGTGTCTTATACACAATTACTTAGATGGGATGGTCAAAATTGGCAGTTAAAATCTTTGGAAGACCTAGTACATGAAAATATTACCTATTCTTGGTTTCAATATAGACAATTAGAAGATGAAAATCTTTTTAAGCAAGTAAAGGATCAAAGACAAACTCACATTAAGAGAATTTATGGGGTGCTAGTGGAACTGGATTCAGAATCAGAATTAATTAAAGACTGTATGATTAAATGGGCGCAGAATTTTGGTGAACCAGTTCTACTGGATACCTGGGAAACTATCTGGGTGAGAAATGTTAAGTTTACACAAGCTCAGAATTTAAGGGAGAATTTTTATAAAATGTTTTACAGATGGCACCTTGATCCACAAAAGATGTCTTTCATGTATCCTGACTTACAGCCTAAATGTTGGAGATGTGGCTGCCTGGATGCCACTTATTATCATATTTGGTGGTCGTGTAAAAATATAAAAGCTTTTTGGATTAAGATATGGTGGAACATTCAGAGAATTTTTAGAAAGAGGGTAAAATTTACTCCACAATTGTTTTTGCATGGTATTGTTACTGATTGTGATGCTAAGGAGGTTATATTGATGTTGAATCTGATTACAGCCGCAAGGCTGTTAGTAGGTCAATACTGGAAGAAAGAATCTTTGCCTACTTTGCAAGAGTGGTTTTTTAAAGTATCTTACTTGGCGAAATGGCAAAGATTTCGGCTTTCTTAAAAGAGCAAACGCAAGAGAAATTTTTTGCTGTATGGGAAAAATGGATAAATTTCATACAATTTAAACTGGATTTGAAAAAATACCACTTAGCTTTTTTATAACCTGTATTTTTCTATTTTAAATATTTTCTCTTTTTAAGGATTATAACTCTTTTTTCATATATATTTTATTTTTAATTATTTTATAATTTTGTTAATTTTTTTTTTAATTAAGCCTATATTCTGCTCTGGGAAGCTCCGGGGGGGGGAGGGAGGGGGTGGTTTGGGAGGGGTTGGGGGAGGGTTGTATTGTTTTGTTTTTGTTGTTGTTGTTGTTGTTATTGTTTTTTTTCTGTCTTTGTAAAAGTTTTTAAAAAATTTTCAATAAAAAAAAATTATTAGAATGATCTTTATTAATTTTTAGGGCTGTGCAGTGATCTAGATTTGAAGGAGAAAAAGTTCCTTAAAGAAGTGGCATATTTTCTTGGATTGCCTGTAAGGGTGCTGTTTTATGATCCCAACCAAAAAAAAAAGTCTTTGGTTTAAAGAGGTGCCAATAGTCCCTGAATGGTGCATATTACCATTTCCCTTTGAATCTGGATCACCACTGAGCTTTATTTACTATACTTTTGCTGGCCAAATTTACCCTATCAGATTTTCTGCTCATGCCATCACCCATATTCTATCTTACTAACATGTGACTTTCAATCCTATGAAATTTTTCCAGGAATTTGTAATAGCTTGTCTTGTTGCCAATAAAATAGACCCTTTTAACATCAGATAATATAACAATGAATATTCCCTGTGACAGACACTAATAATGCTAATAAAAGTAGTGGCTTTTCTCATGTAATAGTTATGCTTATAACATTTTTCAGCATGGTTTTATTTTCTACAAGTCCACCCCATATCTATCTATATACTCATTTCAGATGGGGACTGCAGCCAAGAAATTAAAAGACGCTTGCTCCTGGGGAGGAAAGCTATGGCAACTCTAGACAGCATACTAAAAAGCAGAGACATCACCCTGCCAACAAAAGTGTGTATAGTCAAGGTCATGGGTTTCCCAGTTGCAATGTATGGATGTGAAAGTTAGACCATAAGAAAGGCTGAGCGACAAAGAATTGAGGCCTTTGAACTATGGTGCTGGAGAAGACTCCTGTGAGTCCCTTGGACTGCAAGGCGTTCAAACCAGTCAGTCCTAGAAGAGATCAACCCTGACTGCTCTTTAGAAGGCTAAATCCTGAAGTTGAAACTCAAATACTTTGGCCACCTAATGAGAAGAAAGGACTCACTGGAGAAAGGCCTAATGCTGGGAAAGATTGAGGGCAATAGAAGAAGGGGACGACAGAGAATGAGGTGGTGGATGGAGTCACTGAAGCAGTAGGTATGAGCTTAAATGGACTCCAGAAGATAGTAGAGGACAGGAAGACCTGGAGGAACGTTGTCCATGGGGTCACGATGGGTCAGACATGACTTTGCAACTAACAACAACAACAACCCATTTCTTGGCATCCATATGAACATTGTGGCCAAACAATGCTGGAAATTTTTGAATGATTCTCTGGTGTATTGTAGCACCTGTGCATCAGTTTCAAAGTCTAGCATATATTCTGAAGTCATTGCAGCAATTCTTCAAGATCTTATCTGAAATCTTATCTGGAGAAGCCAAGAAATGAAATATGACATTCAACACAGCTGTTCTCACACTACTCTAAAAGTCCACTACACATTTTCTATAACAGGATCCCTTTTACACTTGAACATAGAAGATACTTACCAACCAATCCCAGAGTGGCTTCTGCATCAGAAGGAATTTTATCTAACAGCTGCTTCTTAAAACCACTATGACTTGACTCTCCCTGCAAAAAGAAAACACCTTGGAGATTGCACTCTGGATTTAAGAAAATTAGACATTTTCTTATAAATGACTCTTAAGATAGTACAGCTGTAGCTGCTCCTGAAAGAAAGGCTATTTCAATATGTATTAAGTCTTGAACTGAGTTAGCCTTGAGTGTTTTGACTGATGACTTTTACCAAAAGAAAGACAACATGTCTAGCTCTCCTTGATTTCTTGGCAGCTTTTGATATTCTTGATAATGATACCCTTCTAAACTAGCTCTGTGGGTTGGGAATCCAGAGCACAATAGCTCAGGAGCTCCATTTTTATTGAAGGGCTGTACTCAAAAATGCCTTTTTGTCACTATACTTTGTCCCCATAGTGATTAAGTAGTGAGGCTCTTCAAGGTTCCATTTTGCCCTCATGTATTCTAGTAATAGGTGGACATTACAATGTGCTATATGTAGAACTTCCTGAATTTGCAATTCTACAAAATGTTATAAATGGGCTGTTGAAGGGAGCCACTGATTTTGAATTACAGGTTTCATGCTGTATTGCTGCATTGGTTGCTGGTACATTAACAAGTCAAATTCTGGAGCTCTGTTGAGCATTGTAAAACTTAGTATAACTTAGGACCCAGTATCAGATGCATTGACTTGACTGCCATGTAGCGGCTTTAAGATCAAATAATTAAGATTAAGATAGTCTACTTAAATTATGTAGACATTCACTATAACCGAAGAGAAAGAGATTCTCAATACAGGCTATGATGATGGATTTTCTTCTTGGTCTTATTTTAAACAGTAATGTATAGAATACACACTTCATCTGAAGTGAGGAATGCAAAACACAACAATCTTTGTTCAAATTCTTGAGTAGTCATACCAAATCTGGCCAATCCATTGATTTAATACTTCTACCAGTCATAATGCTTTGCTTTATAATGTTGCTTTGCTTACTTGGTTCTCTTTTAAATCTGAGGACAACTGAAGTCTGAATACAATTCTACATTTAGATGGAAAAAACTGTAGTACTTGTGGCACTGTAGTCACAAAATGTTCTCCCTTTTATTTACTGCAAAGTTAACTTACCTGCTCTGAGCCATTAAAAAAGGTCTTCATCTCTATTTGGTGATGTTCTTGAAGCAGTGGTTGGGTTGAGTCTTTGGCATCTGTTTGTTGTACCCGCGCAGGCAAGAGAGTGTTTAATGAAGCTGATTCATTAGGGTGACTGAGCAAAGAATAATAAAAAAAATGAGATGCAATGAAGAGGGAAAAAAATAAGAATGCAACAGTAAAAAGTTAATGCCTAGGTCTTCAGGATGTTTTTTCCTCTTATTATTTTTTTTTGTTGTTGTTGGAAAGATTTTCTCAACATCATCTGAGTCCTTTGTTATGCTGCTTCTTCTGTCTTTGAAAATTGTTTATGACTATCTAATCTATAGGAGGGCTTATGGCTTTGGGGAATGAGATGCAATTGTTGAGAAACAACTATTTTCTGTTTCAATTTTCTGTTCTGTAAGGGGTGGAACCACATAATATATCTATCAGTATTCAATTAGGGAGGAAAACATATGTATATGTGTTCTTATGCACTTTTAAAAAAAATGCTTTGTCTAGTTTTGTTTTGTCTTTGTAATTGTTTTCTTCTTTTTGAAGTTTGTATTTTAACTTTCTGAATAAAACAAAAACATATTATATAAGGTGAGAGGGTGGGATATTAGGTTAATAAACAAACAAATAAATAAATAAAATCGTCCTGGCAGAAGGCAACAACTCATTTTTAAAACCCTATTTCTCTGGCAGAAAGGTTTTCCCAATTTTTCAACTTTACTTACTCTCTGCATTTTCTGGTTACTAAAATAGCCATTTATTTCATTCTATTTTTTCCCTTAAGAAAGGTTCAATGTTAAGTGTATTTATTTTGAAATTTGAAAAATATAGACACTGCATTTGTAACAAAAAACACAAACATCTACACAAAAAAGAGTTGACGAAAGTCTAAATAGTTTCACAGTAACTTCTGGTTCACAGACTTTAAAGTTCTGTCTAGAATTAAGAATTCATTGAGTTAGAAGAGATCATTAGTCCTTGATCATTGTGAGATTCCAGATGGAAGTATCCCCAACAGTTGGTTGAAAGTCTCTGAAAACATCACTACTTCCCCTATTCAAAGTCCTACTGCTGAACTGTTTTTGTATTACAAAGGTTTCTTCATATTCAATATAAATTGACCTTCCTATATGCGCTCTGAGTTCTGACCATATAGGACAAGTCTTGATCTGTATTACACTCCTTCAGGAACTTGGCAAATGCTATTGTATTTTTAGTCATAACTTCTCAAAAGTAAAACCGTCCAGTTCTATTATGTCTCTTCAGCAGACTTATTCCAGCCCCATTATCCAGCCCCTTCTTTGCACTGTTCCAAAGAAATAGAAACACTGGGCTCATACAGGCTAGTAGACACAAGACAATTCCTTGCATGTTCCATTATTCCTGAATGTCATATCCATAGGTTAAGTATGACACTGCTCCTGATCTTGGATGGCAAACCAGGATCTTTACGGGATTTACCCAGATCTTGGAATGAAATCCAAAAAAAATCTGCATTGGCAGCTACTGCAGGGGAGCAGGTCTTATTTTATGCTTTTCTCAATACCCTTATCTGTCACTAGCTTAATTTATAGAATATGCCTGATCCAGAAAGAACTAGATATGAAATGGGCCCATTTTTCTTGGCTGTCCCATTCATTCTTTGAGTGGAGAAATGTCATCTTTCATATTTGCCCTTGCCAATACCTGTGCTGAAGTAGAAGAGTTCTTAAAAGCACCTCTTGGTCATCAGGTTTGAGTTTTCCTTCATAGGTCATTTGGGAAAGCACCTGTTTGGCAATCCCAGCTAGACTTCGTTCTTGCAAATCTAGAAGGACGGTTCCTAGAAATGCAGAAATAGGGGAATCATCCCAAAGGAACATTTTTGATCATTGGAAAAGATATTTGCTTACCATTCCAAAAGAGACATTTATTATCTTTATGAAATATATCCAAAAGAAAATTGGGAACCTTTCCTAAAATAAATGCCACAGTTACTTCTGTTGTTAAAGAGACTCCAGAATCATTGAAGCTAGAAAATTTGAAAGATGGAAAGAGATAGATAAGATGAATAGATAGAGATAGATATAAATGTAGATTTCCATGTGGATACAATAGATATAGATACAGATATAAATATATTGTATCAGTTTACTCCCCTGTACATACCGGTACCCTATTCTTAATGTCAGATTTTTTTTTTCTTTTGGAAACCTTGAGTCTCCCAAATTACTCTAAGAATATTTGTTGGGGCAAGAGAACAGGTAAGAACAAATCCATCAATACATATACGAAAGGTGGGGTCTTTGGTGCTCTCTGAGCTTAGTGGTTTTCTTGTACATTTCATAACCAACTAGGTAACATAATCAATGCTACTTGATGTACTGATGATGTTACCTGGTTTATTTATGAAATATCTGCAAGAAAACCTCCAAGCTCAGAGAGAGAATATTAAAGAATATCAAGGACCCCACAGTTCAACTCTGAGCTACAAATATTTTATTTTATTGCTAAAATATGAATATCAATCCTATACCTAATGTACTGGGATTTGGACAATGGAAAGGGTGAGTGCAAGCACCCTTCTTTTTCTTTTGTAGCACATTATTTAGAACCAACTAAGTTCTGTACAATCCTTGCAATCCTTTTCCTCACCTTTGCTAAATGCCTTGTGCACCTCCAGAAGGCTTTGAAAAGTCAGGTATGAAAGATGAGGTCTCCCCCAATGCCCCATCTCCTCAAAGTCCTCTTCCAGTTTGATCCAGTGAGAAGCTTCCATCCAGCGAAATTCATTATTCTTGTCCATGACCAGCTCATGGAGTTCCACATATGACTGAAGAGAATAGCAAAAACATGTCATAATGATTGCCATTTTACCCTTCCTTCAGTGCTCTGTAACAGTGACATAACTTGCAGAAATTCAACAGACAATATTTCTAACGGTTGGGATATACTGGGGAGAGATATACAACAATTTTACCCATTGCATGTCTCCCCCATTGATGAGGACATTAAGGACATAAGGAACAGTGGTGACAAAAAATCCCCTTTTTAGGAAAAAAAAAGTAGATAGCAACCTTCCTCTGCACCAATTGCTATAGATCTGTGGATGTGTGGATCTTTCCGATAATTGTGAGTTCTAGGAATTGTAGTTTCCACATCTGATGGCAAGAGAGGTGGAAGGCTGCTGTATAAGTTCACTGCCACTTCAGCCTGCTAAGTACATACTTTCATGAAAGCTGTTCCTACCTCACTAAAACCTGTGCTCTGTATCCCTTATTCCTGTTTAGAGCAAGAGTGTGCAATTTTTGGCAGGCTGAGGTTTTGGGTTAGGTGCTAAGAGATATGCTCCAAAATGTACTCAATGGGAACAAGGCAAAACACTAAGTTTAATTTCCTTTTCACTAAAATAAAATTTCACTAAAACTTTAGCCAAATTTTCTTAATGGCCATATGCAGGTGACTGCATTGTTTTCCTCAGAGATGTCTTTGATATCCCAAAGCAACCTATAGGCTTACATTTCTTGGTGTATTCCTGGAAATCACTAGGAATGACTATGTTTGAGTATTTCCAATCTTAGTCAAGATTGGTTTGTGCTATTTAAAGAAAATAGAGTCATCAGAAATACTTTTTCTCTTGGGCATTTAATATTTTTCTTCTGTTGCATTAAAACTTTCAGTTTGAGGACATTTTTTCAGAGTCCCTTGAGGCAATGCTTACAGTTTTGTGGGAGAAAGATAGAATTAGTTTTGAGGTTCTGTACTTTTCCTTTGAGAAAATTGTAGTTTTTAATATGGTTTAAGATTGCAAAAGCAATCAAGGGAGTTATGATTTTGTTTATTACTCAAATGTATATTCCACCATAATCACAGGGCTCTTGGCCACTCACAAAGTGCTTTTGTGATGGTAGAAGTGCATCCTTTCCCCAAATGTAAAATCTGTCTGCATGATACACCTTGTTTCAAAGACACCTATATTTGCAGCTGAAATATGACAAATAGTATAGGAAATCCATGTATGACTTTTCCACCATTTAGACTTATTAAAAAGCAGAAGGGGTTGATCAGGAGGAATGGAATGTCATTGATCCTTCATATACCATTCCTTTAACTAAAATTGTACAATTACTATAGTTTGCAAACAGACAATTCCTAGCGCTTCCAATTAAAGGCATTGTATTTATTTCTAATGGACCTGGGGTGCAAGGAATAGGTTGCGGGAAGAAGATAGATGGCATTATGATGAACACAGAAATGGAAACTAGTGACAAGATGCACCATAAAATTATCAGGCAGCACCCTAATTTATTTTTTAAAGAGATACTTAGGCAGCTTTTTATGCCTGCTTTTATATTTTTTGATGCTTTATAGCTTTATTATTTTTATATTGTTTTAAGTCTTTGTATATGTTCTATTTACATTTTGCACATTCTCTTGAATCTCTGTGCTGATCTACAGACATGGTAAAGATTTGACTTGATCTTTTGAACCTTAAGCAAGGTTACATCAGGCACTTTGAATCAAATAAGAATTACTTAGGGACTGTGTAAAAATACAAGACATAGATCTATTTCCTACATAGAGAAAGAGTTGTTTGGCAATCTCTGCACCACTGGGGCTTTCAAGATTACTTCAGAGAAAGAGCACTCCAGGGGGTTTCTAACTGCTGGATCCTTGATATCTTAGAAACTGCTTACAAATTACCACAACCAAACTCAAATCTCTACAAGCCCTAGGAACGTACATTATGGGAAGCTTTGTGGGAGATGAGTGGCTTCACAGGCTCCGTACCTCTTGGCTCCTCCTCAGATGAGGAGGAGCTACCTGTCAATAAGAAAATAAGTTTACTTATTCACTGCTTTTAAATCTCCACTCTTCCCATTTCCCATTTTCTCCAAGGTGCTCCAAATGACATGTGGAAAATCATTCCTTTCTATGCCCTTGACAATTCTGTGAGGTAAATCAGATGAGAGATATGATATTGCCACAAACCACCCTCTGTATTACACACGTCTTCTGTTTGAAGGCAGTACTTTTTATCCATTATATTACATGAGCTCATCCGTTCATACTTGCTGGAATCTGGACACTCCTTGCCTCTTGTGACTAGATGAACGTCAAGTAAATGACAGCAGCTTTTAACCCTAACCCTAACTAGAGCTTTTGTGGGTGATTGTGTTATGCAAACCCATTTCCTTGGGTTAGTTTGTGACTCAGCATATTGTTTGACCCCAGAAAATGCACTAACACTGGGAAGGTCTATTCTTAGGTCTGCCAATAGGACTCAGGTAGAAAAATAGATACATCACACTTCATCTCACAAACCAGCGCATGTAATTTATTGGGCAAAATCCTGTGCAGTATGTGAACAAGGAGAAAATACCATTGCCTTCCTTTTGGGACAATAATGTTTGGGTGGTGGCCCTATCATTAAGCAAAGTGAGGCAATGAGAACTTTGTTATTTTCACAATAGGGATGAGTGTTCTTTTTCTAGTAAATTTACAGTGAACTTTGCATCTCCATTTTCTTATTCTTAATTTTTATCTGAGAGTAGTGCAAAAACAACAGAAAGCTGTTTTTGTGGAATTTGGAGGGAGTGTTCTCTAATTATAGAATTATTTAATGAAAGATTGAACTTTGAAAGAATCAATTTATTGAAGTGGGTGGCTCTAGAAATCAAATAAATAAATATTGAAATTTCCAATATAAGATAGTTTGGCATTAGTACAAACTTTACTTCTTCATTCCGTCCATTGATTGAAGTTTGGTATGAATTTTGGAGCAAAGAAAAACATGGCAAACAACTTCAATGCTATATTTCTAACTATTTGTGCAAAATAGGAATAATCCAAGGAAGAAAACTTGGTGCCCTGATGTGGAATGGAATACAGTTGGAAAGAGAGTATCAATATCGCAAGATTTTTCTGACTGGTAAAAATTGTTGCTACTATGTAAAATATAATTTAATAATCATAATAACAGTAATTTGTCTAGAAGCCGAAGGAATTCTCATGATTCATATAAATTACATCCCCGTTTATTTATTTATAGCTTGAACAAGTGACTGAATCTCTATGACATGCCACACAATTTATATCTCCAAGTGGCAGGGAAGACTGTATTTTCAGTGCATCTCTGGGATAAAAAGGAGCACCTAACTCTTCCTGCCATTGCCATCCCTTTACACATATTAAAAATTAGCACAGCCATTCTGAATATTTTGCCACTTATTCAATTGCAGTTTTTAAAAATATGGAGTCATGCAAGTAACCTAATAGCCTTCTCCAACTTGGATGGGATCAAACACCATGAAGCTGGTGGGGAATTATGGGGACTGTGATCCAACCAATTTGTGGTGGCAATAGATTGTAAAAAGCTGAGCTTTCCTGTCCTTTTTGTGGGACCCCAATTATTTTTGGCCAGCCATAGAAAATTAGTTATGATATTATTTTGAGTGATTCAGGAAGAACATTCTTAAAAGTCTGCCTTTCCTCTTCTATTCGTCACTGGAGCAAATCTGGAACAAGAAGTGATATATTTTCACACATATTCAGCCAGTTTGGGAACCATAAAGCAAAACAATGGAAAAGGACTTTTGTGAGCCTGAAATCAAGATCATGCAATTGGCTTTACTTTCAAATTCAGGTTTTTTTTTTTTTAAAAAAGGATCAAGTTGAGGATTTCAAGAGAGAGAGGAAAAGATGAAATGAATAGAACCTTTCCCCCTTTTCCATAGAAATGGACTGGTTCTTATTCACAGCTGTCTAATAATAGAAAATGTTTGAAAGACTATCTCCAAAAGTGTCCAAAAAGTTATTTTACCCAAAGTTGGAAGAATTCCTTTAATCATTCCCCTGATTTTTAAAACAACATCAAGGCTGTCATGTAGGCCATCCTATTTAGTAAAAATAAAAAGCACCACTAAAATGCTGCTCTGCAGCAAATACCAAGACTCGTGCAAACAAGCCAATCTACTTCGATACAGGGGGAAAAAATACCAGCAAGAAAAGCCATCACTTTCCTTTACAAAATCTTATGTAATGAAGATTATATTCATCATACATGGAAATATTTGCTTTTCTCACCAACCATCATGGACCACAACATTATGAGCTGATGGTACCATACTTATTATACCCTACAATTCTAAGGGAAAAAAACAACTCTTTGTAATGGGGTGTTTGTGAAAACCTTTCACAAACTTTTTCAGGTTTCATATTCCTTAGGTGTGAAAGTGGGGCTTCCAACATTTACAAGCAACTCTACTTTGGTATATGCCCAAACCCCTTATCTAGATTCTATTCTATTCTGTTCTGTTCTGTTCTGTTCTGCTCTGCTCTGCTCTGCTCTGCTCTACTCTACTCTACTCTACTCTACTCCATTCCATTCCATTCCGTTTCATTCTGTTTCAATTCAATTCAATTTCTCTCTGTCCATATATAATTCAAAACAACAATAGTGTTCTGGGTGACATTCAAATTTTTTAAAAAATCCAGTAAATAAGAAGAATATATTTCCTTCTGCATTAACTATGGAGAAACCCTAAGGATGAAACAGAATAACTCCCAGGGTGGAAAAGAAACTTGCATTTCTAAGTTAAACATGTATTTCATCCATTCATACTTTTAAAAAAAATTAAAAACATAGAGCAATATTTCCTATGTTTCCATGTTCTAGGCAAAAATGCTTCAGCTAATCCTCATATTTGGCTACAGTTTTGCAGATATATTATACTGCATTCTTGTTTTCTTGCAGTTAAAAGACCACCTTTTTATTCTGCACTGATCACACAGATTTCAGCCTGCTTCACCAACCTTACCTTGAAAACAACTTCCACAGTTCGACATTCAAGAAGGAGGAAAAAACCCATGTGAAATTTTGGCTCTATAAACCCCCTCTTTGGCAACTGCACAAGACACTCTGACTCCACCCTTACGTTCCTGTCACAAGTGGTTCTTGTGTTCATAGTAAATTCATAACCACTTTACGTTTGCTGACAGTAAATATAAGGCGTTTGGCTCTTTTCTGGGTGAGGGGACAAGCCATTAAATGGCTAGAAATCACAGCTCAAGTTTAAAACAAGATTATTCAAAATCAGTCACGTACTTGTATTTGTATGCCACCTATTTAAGAATTCCAAACAGATTACATTAGGAACAACATAGAATAGCAGAGTTGGAAAGGACGTTGGAGGTCTTCTAGTCCAACCCTCTGCTCAAGCAGGAGACCCTGTCCCATTCCAGACAAATAGCTGTCCATAAAAGAAATTAAGTTGCTAAATTATACTTGATACTTCTAGTCCAGGGGTAGACAACCTTGGCTCTTTTATGACTTGTGGACTTCAACTCCCAGAATTCCTGAGCCAGCCATGCTGAGGAGAAAGGGAGAGGTTTCCATGCTGAGCCATGCTGGATCAGGAATTCTGGGAGTTGAAGTCCACGAATCATAAAAGAGCCAAGGTTGCCTACCCCTGTTCTAGTCCATAAAAGCGGCAGAATTGCAGGAGAAAATTTAGCAAGATAGAACTCAGTAGAATGAAGACAAGTTAGGAGGGTCTATCTTTTCTGTGAATGGTAGCACCGTCCACCAGATCAGGAGACAGTGAGGGGGAAGATGTCATTCATTCTGGGATCCTTATGCTTTTTAATCTAGCCCCACTGAAGTGTAATTTCTAAAATTTGGAACATTAACTTACTTTACAGAATTGTGTCTAATTGCACTAAGTATAAATAAATTATTAAATATTTAAATGTTCATAGATTAATGGCATAATAGAATTGGAAAGAACCTGAGAACCCCCTAAGATCCCCTGCACCTCTGACAGATATCCATCCAGCCTGTTTGAAGACCTCTAGCAAAGAAAACTATCCACTATCTGACAACTCTTTCTGACATCTAGTTTGATCTCCTTTCTTGTAATTTTAATCCATTGGTTCTAGTGCTGCCATCTTGGGCAATAAAGTCACGCTGTCAAATTTGCTCAGCAAGATCAACCACTCATTGACAGAGTTTACACTTCACCCTGTCATGGTTTGCTTAACTTTGGCTTGGTGAATAAACTATAACTGGTTGTATATGCTAACTTAAGACCCATGGTTTATAAACTGCATTCGCAGGAATCACAGAAACAGCTAAGTCAAAATTAAAATTAAAAATCTACACACATATTATAATGGGATGTGTAAATTCAGGCAATGCAATCCTTGTCTGAAGCACTAATTCTAATTGAACAATTGAATAAAATGCTACCTGTTCTTCCTGATTAGCAAAATAATAGAACAAAATAGCAGAGTTGGAAGTGACCTTGGAGGTCTTCTAGTCCAGTCCCCTGGTCAGGCAGGAAACTTAATATCATTTCAGAAAAATGGTTGTCCAATCTCTTCTTTAAAAGTTCAACTTTTGGAGACAAGTTGTTTAACCCATTAATTGTTCTAAGTGTCAGGAAATTTCTACTTAGTTCTAGGTTGCTTCTCTCCTTGATCAGTTTCCATCCATTGTCCTGCCTTCAGGTGCTTTGGAGCAAAGGTCCCCAACCTTTTGGGCAGCAGGACCCAGTTATGTGGAGAGAGTTTTTTCTGTGGACCAGAGAGTACGTGGTTTTGTGTGCTGCCTGCATCATGCGAATGGGTCTTTGCTTGTTTGTGTGGCACAGTTGCTGGCATGCCACATCCTGGTACCGGTCCATGGACCAGGGGTTGGGAACCCCTGCTTTGGAGAATAGCTTGACTCCCTCCACAACTAATATGGCAGAAAACTTAATAATGAACTTGATAGGATTGTAATTACACAGTAAAAAATAGCCATATATTAGTTGAGGAACAGA